GCCCGCCGCTGAGGACTGCCTGTCAGATGCAGGCGGCTGGCCAGTGCTCAACCATTAAGTAAAAGTTATTTACCGCCTCTCTTTATGCCACCTCGTTTCTGTTGGTTTACTTTGAGCTTCCTCCCCTGCTTTGAGCGCCTGTTATCATTTGAATCCGGTGACTACCCAGAAGCATTCCGAATCAAGACCAGTTTAAGCCTCATCGACTAATCGGCTGTTAGGGAAAGTGCTGTATGGACACGCACACACAAAGACGTGTGCCCTCATGATCAATCCAAAACATATTTAATCAAAAGTAGGCCTGGTTACGTTACCCAGTGTGGTCTAGTGGATAGAGTGATGGACTCAAGAACAGGGTTCGAATCCCATAGAAACTCGCCACTCTTTAAATACCTTGCCACAAACTGAGTGTTACATACGGTCATGAAATCTATTCAGACAAGAGTAGGAAACCTTGCTGTCAATCCGAGTTGGCCTTAAAATACTGCCATAGTCAAATCCAACTGGTTACCAAGCCCTCTGATACAGTGTAGTGGCTATGTGATTCCCAACTGGTTGGGATCACTTATGTAGCAAAAAGATGTTGTTTACAAAGAGAAAATAGCACCAAAGCCACTGCAAAGAGACATACAAAAATCGTTAGGCAAAGCAGGATTCCTAAGAGTCCGCATGTCATTTTCACATTCAAAACCATTCAGTACAAGCTTAGTTGTACAGTACACGACTGGTAGGATTGTACACCCTCCTTTTATAATTCAAGGCTAGATTACATTTGTGAAAGTATAATTCCCAGAATCACACCACCTAAACACTGTGTTCATACTTTCCTAGCAATCTGTGTCCCACTCATGCCCAAGTTGTGCTTTCAAAAAAAGAAAGAAAGAAAAGAAAAGTACAAGATAGAAAAAAGTCAGAAAAAGATAGGAAAATACTTCCATGTGTCTGTCTAGTCACAGCAGAACATAGGATATAAATGCACATTCATGTGTACGTTCAAACGTGTCCCATTGAAAAAAAATACAAAGCAGATAAATGGCCTCCACATTTGGATGGTGGTTTCGATATACCCATGTATTTGCATGTAAATCAGGGCAGGGAAAGTTACTGCACCAGCTTTCAGCATCCCTTAGGGTTGATAACACAGCGGCACATTGGTATGGCTGTCTTAACAAGATAGGAGCACAACAATCACACTTCAGTTTTCTGCCCCAATGCTTGGTTTAACTACTATGATGCTGTGGTTAACACCTACATTGACTTTACCAAGAACTGCATGTTTTCTGTTTGCCAAGCTAAATTCCTTCCATCCATAAACTAAAACAAAACAAAACAGAGGTGTGGGCCTGTGGCATTATTTTAGGTATCCAAGCAAATGGCAAATTTTGTTAGGAATTCCACACTAGGTTTCTGAAAGGCCCAGGAAATCTGAAAATGCAACTATGGTTCTCATATATTCTTGAAAGGAAAGAGACTTTTTTTGCAAGCAACAGTACAGTTATGTAGGGTGGTGACAAAAGCAGCAAGGAAGGCAAATAAACTGGCCGGATTCTGTGTGCCACGGCGGGGGGGGGGCGGTGTTGAAGAGAAGCAAAAGGAGAAGGTATCCTCTCACCTTCCTTCTTACCAGGGAAAGTCGAAGCAAAAGCATCGGTTTAGTATGTGCGTGTTTTAAGGTGGAGGAGCCGGCGGCATACCGTGTAGCAATTCTCCCAGATGTTCTGGAAGGCAGCGCGGGAAGGGCTCTCCCACCGCTCAGCATCTGCTCCGGCCACCATCATCACCGCCAGTTCCCGCTTCTCCCGTGTCCTGGGAGGGCGAGGGTCATTAAGGAGGAGGCGGGGAGGGGGAGGCAGCGCTTGGCCAAATTGCTCTTGTTGAGCGGAACCACAAGGCTCAGAATCCCCCAGCCAGGCGATGCTGGGCGCTGGAGTCCCAAGAACGAGATTGTGGCCAAGCTAAGGGTGGAAGCCAAGAAGGCGAGCCAGGGACCGAGTTTTTTCCGGCGCTGTGGTTTACCCGGCCGCCAAAGGGGGGGGTTCCCTTCTCGGAGAGGCCCCTCCCTCTTCCTCCTCTTTCCCCGATCATAAACAACAAGCCCTCCCCGGAGTCCCCCGTGGCAGGAGCGGAGGAAATCGTGCCTCCCTCCCCTTGCCCGCCCGGTCAACCCGGGAGGAATCGTGCGTGTCCGAGCACAAGCTGGCCCGGTTGGGAAGGAGGGAAGGATGGAGCCCAGCAAGCCCGCCATCCCCTTCGCCTTGGCTGTTGCTGCTGCAACCGAGGGTGGGGGTGGGGGGACCGGGCGAGAGCAAGCCGGGATTTTGGGAATGCTCCGCACGTAGTGTTTTTGCAGGAAGTTTGCACGCGCCCGGCGATGTCACCTGGATAACGGGGCGAAGGGCTTCTCGCCTGCTTCCTGAGCCAGCCTTGGGGATCAGAGACCCCCCCCCAGTTCCTCCT